AAATGCATAAGGCATGGAAACAGCAAGGCCAATAGCAGAAGCAACAACAAGAGGGGGAAGAACCAGTGGTGCAGAAGAAGCTACAAAACCAGCCACTAAGATCTGTTTTCCCAGCATGAGTCCCCACCTCACCTTGCTATCATTTTTAGCGTTAGGTTCATACGAGTATTGATTAGTGTCCCTTTCTTCATCTTCAGCTTCTTCCAACTCCATTCTATCCTATGTATGCCAACATCATTGAAAGTTGAAACAAAATAAAGACACTTTCTCCATTTAGTACATCTGTTACAACTTACTAAAGCATCACTACTTGGTAAAATGAATAGAGTGGAAATTGTCTGATAAGAAAATAATGAAAATCAAGGAATAGACAGAGAGGAATGAAAACAGAACAGGAAGCTGGATGTAAGATGAATAAGCTTGAAACTACTAACCTCCAAGAGCTAATATGCTACTGTGCTTCACCTTCAGTTTCACTCTCTTACTCTCAGTCGCATGGCCAAATTCATTGATGTATTTTGGTAAAATGGAGCGTCTGATTCATCATTCACATGTGAATGTTGATGATACGTGCTACAAAAGGAGGAATGACAGCTGCAGGGTAAGGAGTATGCCACCTCAATTTCTTTTGCATGCAGCATTCAAATATGCATCAAAGCATTAATTAGCTAAATTATATATATATATATATATATATATATATATATATATAGTACCCTCTGCTCTGCAACGTGGGCTAATGTGGATTTAAGTGATTCTGTTATTAATGTCAAATTAACTTTTAAATCTTTTAATCATGAAACTTTGTATTCAGTACTACTCTTAGTAATTTTTGCAATATAATCCTTATGTTCATTGGCGAAAAAAGTCCGAACAAGAATCAACAGTCCTCCAAAAGGTTCTGCCAAATCTTCCATACTTGTTCTTCATTAAATAAATCATTCTCTTCAATATTGAACCCTTCAATTCTTCCTCTGTTTCAGAGCACTTTTCCGCATGCCTTGTACTTTTCATCTCCAACTCTGTCCCCTTCAAATATTTATTGTACTCAGAAACCGCCGTCGACGATGGCGTTTTCCTTGTTCGACAACGGTGGCGCATTGTATTTCTCTGAATGCCCTAGTTACTTACTTAGTTGGAACCCTTACAATGACTGCACCCCATCTTAATCACCATCTCTCTCTCCCTTCCGCCGCCGATTGCGGCAGCGCCTGCGGTGATAGGAAGAGAAGATCGGAGATTCTTTTTTTTTTTTAAAATAAAAAATAAATAAATAAATAAATAAATATATATATATATATATATATATATATATATTATTTTGACTTAGGATCTTACATATGGTTTATATATACGAACTGAAAGTAACCCCAAGAAAAAAAAAATTTTTTTTAGAACACGAAAAAAAAGTACCTTGTGTATATTTTTATTTTATTTTATTTGAATAAACTGAAATTGGATCCAGCCAGTAGAAGTTATGTTGAAGCCACCTGAGCATATTTTGTTTGGTAGAACTATTGGACTTGGGAGTAAAGCAGCTAGATAAAGGATTACTTTGTAAAATAAATATATAACTTGTAGGGACTACATTAAAAATAAAAAAAAATTATGAAGACATTATGACATGACATCCTTAAAAACTGTTACATTTTCATTAAATAATATCTTAAATTCCTAAACCCTGAAATCTCCTTATGTTAATATGCAAGTGTTTCCACGTGTTTGCTCAATCTAATTATGTATACCAGTTATTATTATGTAAAAAGTTCATATCTACTTAATTATTATTTTATCTACCATGTCTACTATAGACATTATCAAAATTGAGAGTCTTGAATTGACAAATCTTATTAGAAGAGCCTATAATTATGTTGAAATTGAAGAGCAAAAACTTAACTTGATAGTAAAGTCTGTTGTAAAATTATCAGGGTCATTTTTTAAAAAATAAACAAATCACTGCAAGCAGCTTATTTAATTGCATTTCAACATATTCATCAACATTCCACTTCAGCTTATCCTTAGGCGAAAGGTTCTAGCCAATAGTTTCTTCTCTTTTGAGCATTTGTGAATAAGATTAGCAATAAGAACATGATTAAAGGTAATATAATATGATTCACATAGCTCCAAATATGACTAGAAAGGAAATGACTATTAATACAATTATTATTAAAAATTCAATCATTTCTATTATTTCATAATCTCTATATAGACACTTTAAACAAAATATTCCAATTATTTATACCATTAAATTTTTTTTTTTTCAGATTGAACATCAATCATTTACTCAAACCAAGACTAAAAAAAGATTTCTAACCATTTACTCTTATTTAAAGGGTTCCATAATTCATTGGATATAACAATCTCTAATAATATGTATAATAGATTTATAGGCAGAATTACATCCAAGACACAAGTCACTATTAGATAAACTTCTTTTCAATCTTTTCTCATTAATGAATAATTTGTCATGAACAACTTTCCAAAAAAACATTTGAATCTTTTGAAGCTTATGCCAATTTCAAATTAACTAAAAAAATTGAGTCAACAAGGTTAACTTGGGATATAGGATGTTCCCATTAAATGAAGGAAACTAGCTAGTTCTGTCAAAATCAACATTAAATTTTGGAGGAATAATATTTGAAATATGGTCACAAACCTTTTGAAATGGATAGGGTTTAATTTTACACCAATTCCACTTACCATTAGCTACAAAAAAATATATTAATTAGATCCTCAAGAATATTTAGATAGATGAGGAAGATCAATAATACCAAGGATCCAAAAATCATTTCAAAGCTGAACTTTTAAATCATCTCCAATAATCCAAAACAAACCTTTATGGATGATATTCAAAACATTTACGATGTCGTTGCATATAACTAAACAATTCTGTCGAAAATTATTTAACAATTAGATTATTAGTTATAATTTAATATTTTTATTTCAAGACCTGCACTCATAGAGATTTAGAGTTATTCAAAAATTTCCAACCTAGTTTTACCATTTAAGCTCAATTAACTTGTTGTAAATCTCAACCCCTTTCTGATTTTGGAGAACAAATTTTATCTTAAGCAATTAAATGATATTTCCTTTGAGTAGAAGAACCCAAATAAATATTTTACAAATTTTATTAATTTTCTCAAAAAATCTCAATAGGGATAAGGTGAAACTGGATAATATGATTTGGGATACTCATAATACTAGATTAGGTAAGGATCACTTTATTAGCAAGTGAAATAGAATTAGCCTTCCAATTATTTTTTTTCCTACTTTTATCTAACAAACTAAAATACATGTTTTTGAAATCCTCTTACGAAAAATAGGTGTTCCTAAGTAGGAATCTAAATTATTAGAAAATTTAATATCAATCTATTAGCCAATACTACATCTAAAGTTAAAATTCAAATTACTTGAAAATAAATCACAGATTATTTATTTATTGACAAGAAACTTCACAAATATGTTGTAACACATATTGAATTATCTTGATTTGATTTAAAGATGTTTTAGTAAACAAAATGAGAATATCAAAATAAAATAAATGAAATAATTTAAGTCCTCTCTTATCAAAATAAAATGTTTTCCTCTCATCTAAATTTATTTATGTTGAATACAATAAACTAATATTTCCATACATATTACAAAAATATATGGGATAAAGGGTCACTCTACCTAATACTTATTTAAGGGCAAAAACTACTCCAAAAAAACCATTATTCTAGTTAAAATTTATAGAGAAAAAGAAATAAAAAAAAAAATGCAAAACATTTACCTCCAACTTTTTCAATGAATTTTTTAACAAAGTTCTAATTGAGTCTATCATATGTCTTTTTCAAATCAAGTTTATGAATCACCTACTCTTAAAGTAATTAAAAGAGTAAATTATTTCTTGAAGAATAATAATATTATCAATTTACCAAAATTATAGACACAACTTTATAAATAAAGTTATGAAAGGAAATAGGTTTAAATTGACAAACCTAATTATAGCAGCTTCTTTAGTTATTAAAGTAATTATGGTTTGATTAACACTTCTAGTTTCATTGTAATTAGTAAAAACATCCCTCACAAACTTAAGAAAATTAAAATTTTAAATTTTTCACTAGGTCTTAAAAAAATAAGATATAAAATCATCAATTATACTTATACTAAAAAAATAACCTTTATTTTGGTATGAGAAACTTCGCTGCTTAATCCTTATTAAGATTGAAAAATGAGATAGGACAATCTAAATTATTTTTAATAGAAAGACATCTAAAAATAAATTAAAAATTGACATGCGTATTTTGAAGCGTAATGTATCTTGACATTGATATTTGAATTCAAATTTTCTTTTCAGTTTGAATAAAATTAAAAAATTTAATTTTAATTTTAATTTTCTCCTCATAAATTTGAATTTGAATTCAAAAATTAAATTTAGTTTTATTCATATGCTAATTAAATTTGAAATTTTCCTGTAACTAATGTTTAAAAATTAAATTTTAAAATTTAGTTCCTCTTCTATTAAGTAAACTTTAAATTCAAATATTTAGTTTTTAATTTGGTTCAATACAAGAAAAAAGTTAAATTTAAAATTTAAATACAAATTGTGGTCATGAAAGAAACTAAAATTAAAATTCAAACTTTAACATTTAAAAAAATATGATGTATCATGTGTCAATTTATAATATTTTTTTTAAAAAATATAATGCGTGTTACTCTATAGCATATTGTGCATACTATTTTTTCTCAACATTTTTTTTGACATTATTGACTTAATTCATTTCAATAATTTTTTAAATATTTTTTAATAAAAAATATATTATGACGGTAAAATACTATCTTTTTGGCCAAAGGGATTATTATTATGATTATTATTACAAGGCCGCAGGGATTATAGATTTTTTATTCTTGATTTTTAATCAAAGGGTACCGTTTTTGGGCTGCATTTTATTTTATGGCTGAGCCCATGGATCATCGGTTTAAACATTGGGCGGTTGGGCCCGAGAACGGTGTTGATTAGGTGACAGTAGAGTGACGTGTGGGGTTGCTCGTGGAACGGTCATTCTTACAATATTAACTTTGAAGAAGAGGAAGAAGCGTTGGTAACAGTAGCAATAGATATGAGGATCGTTCGGAAAGACCTGGTTCCCAATGGACCTGGTAGCGTTAAGGTGCAATTCCCATTCTCTATACTTCGATTCATTTTCTTTTTCCGTATTTACGTTTCTGTTATGCAGATGGTGGCAGTGGATTCCGATGATCTATGGTTTGCATATAACTTGATTGCTCCCGGAGACTCTGTTATGGCCGTAACCGTCAGGTACTACTTTTTCTCTCTTTTCTTGCTTCCTTTCATCGCAGATTCTCATTTTCTCATTCGTACTTGTTTTAACTGTAATAGGAAGGTTCTTAGAGAAGCTGCTAATGGCGGAAGAGATGCGGAACGAGTTAAGCTCAAGTTGGAAATTAAAGTTGAAGAGGTACTTTGCTTCTCACATCTAACGGTAGAATTTCAATTTAGTTTTTCGGTTTTGTCTAATCTCTTGTTTTTATATATATTTCAGGTTGCGGATTATGACAAAGAAGGTTCTGTTTTACGTGTTCGTGGAAAGAACATTCTAGAGAACGAACATGTCAAGGTAGTTAACTGTAACTGTTACCCTGATTTTAACTCGAAAGTGTTACTGCTGAATTTTTGTAACTCGCTGCAGATAGGAGCATTCCATACTTTAGAGCTTGAACTACAGCGACCTTTTGTGCTCAGAAAGGTGATTCTCTTAAGTCGCTATGCTTCCTGTTACTGGTTCTTTTGTTTTGTTTAATGTAAGCTAGTACTTTTGTTTGGATATATCATTATGGCTATGCCATTTTGGTTAGAAGGATGAATGTATAAAAAAAGGGAGGAGGGATATATAAGAAAATCACTTTGTGATAGTTTTTCTTTTCCTATTTTGAAGAATCGTGATTGCTGAAGATTACATTTTTCCTTTTGTAGGATGTTTGGGATTCTTTGGCTTTGGAGGTACTACAGCAGGCCTCTGGTATATTTTCAGTTATCTGAATCTGCCAATTTTATAATAGACATTAATACTTGTGGCAATTGATTTTAGTATAATCTGTGTGGAAATTTTGGAAACTGCTAATTTGAAGAATGAAGATTAGAAGATATTTCTTTAACAGTAAAAATTTTAGCTTGTATATTCGTTTTTCCTGACATTAGATTGGACAAACATACCAATGATCAAAATGTTGAACCTACTTTATGTGATGTCTTAAATTCTGCACCCATTTAAGGTATTTTAGGGAAATTGTTGGAAAAAGTGAAATAAGTGCTTCATATAGAATTATATTCATATTTATAAATGGAAGTCAACATCCTCATGCAGTCAGTTTGAAGTATGATTGTTGGTGTAATCTCAGTTATCAATATGTTGAATAAAAATTCCATGCATATTTTGCAGATCCTGGTGCAAGTGCTGATCTAGCTGTAGTGTTGATGCAAGAAGGACTAGCCCATATCCTCCTTGTTGGTAGAAGGTTAACTTTCATTTTAATAGGTTTATTTATACATTACTTATAATAGCTCTGTATACAGAAGATATTTTATCAGGACTCTATACTAGTAAAATTGGTTGGTGTCGGATTTGTTTGATTTCTGTGGGTAACCACAAATACTGGAAATTGAATACTTGTTCCTCTTTCTGATATTCTAGTTAACTTTTCACCATGTAACTGTGGCATCTTTTGATTAACAGTATGACTGTTACTCGTTCGCGGATAGAAACTTCAATTCCTCGCAAGCATGGGCCCGCTATTGCTGGTTATGAGAAAGTATGTCCTCTCTCTGTTACAACATGTCAGTGAATGAATTCAATAACTCGACTGATATGATTCTAACACATCCTCCTCCCTTTTGTAGGCTTTGAATAGGTTCTTCGATAATGTTTTGCAGGTATATTCAGCTCAAGAACTTAGATTTCTTATGTTTGGCATTTATTCTCATTAATTATACTCATTCCATTTGTAAAATTTAAACCCGGATCACTGTGCTTTATAAAACTTCTTTTTCAATAAAGGGCATTTATTAAATCTATAGAATTAATGCTAATGATATATTGCAAATTCAAAGAGCCCTCAAATTTAATGAAGTCTACAAATCTGTTTTAGGCTTTCTTGAAACATATAGATTTCAATGTGGTTCGCTGTGCTGTAATTGCAAGTCCAGGATTTACAAAGGTATGTAATTATTCCCTGTTTCTTTTATTTGTGCTTCGTTCTTGGTGAGTATTTACAAATTCAATACTGTGTGTGTCTTTGTTTATGTATATGTAATGATTTGAATATGTGTAAGTGTAGACAAGATTTTGGTACAGAAGTGCTTATTATACTTATATTTTATTTCTCTATTTGTGTTTCAGGATCAGTTTCATCATCACTTATTTTTGGAGGCTGAACGAAGACAGTTGCGACCTATTATTGAAAACAAGTCAAAAATCATTCTTGTGCATACAAGTTCAGGATACAAGTATGGTTGCTTACTTGCTATATTTATGTGCGTTTTCTCTGCTGTTACTTTTCTAGGACTTTATGAAAGCTTTGAGGTAACTAGAACTAAGTAACACATGAAGGTCAATTAGATGTAGCTTGACTTACATAATATTCTGATGTGATATGCTGGTATAAGTGTGTTAGCACTTGTTTTAACAAATTTCTATCCATATTGTTTGAGGCTGGTGACTAAAATGTGCTTTGTCAATATATATACTCCATATACAAGATTTTGAGTGAATGCCAAGTCTCATCTGCATGCATGTTGAAGACATCATTATTTATAATATGAATACTGAAGAAAAAGAACATGGCAGCAAACATAGGTTAAAACACTGTTGTTTTAAGGATTAACTTTGTAGTTCAATTGCTTGTGGGTACTGTAATATTTGATTTATTGTATCTCTTTAACATTGGTATTTATTATCTATAGGCATAGTTTAAGGGAGGTTCTTGATGCTCCAAATGTCATGAGTGTGATAAAAGATACTAAAGCTGCACAAGAGGTACCATAAGAACTGAAGCAGTATACATTTTTTACTTTACCATTTGATCACTTCCATGCTGAATAATTTCCTTGTCCTGTTTACTCTTTCTCTATTGGTCCTGGAATAAGCTTTATTCTTTCTCATTTTCTTCAGGTTCGAGTTTTGAAGGATTTCTACAACATGCTTTCAAATGTCAGGTTCTATTTTTGAGATGCTCTTGTTTTCCTTGCCTGTGTTTATGATTAGAATATCATATCCATATTTTGAATTCCTCTTTCCAATGAAAATAGTTCATTTTTAAGAATTTTATAGGATGAAAGATGCTAAATTTCGGTGGATCAGGAAGGTCTTTGCACAACTTTTATTTTCTCAGTCATGTGTCTATAAGAACAGCATTGATCTTTAAGTCATCTTCATGATGAATTGCTGTATTGACTTTTAGATGCTTACTTTCGTTAAAGCTAAGAGAAGTATATCTTCCATGAAGTTCCTTTTTGTTTTTCAATCTACTTTTTGTATTGTGTTTAAAAAATCAAATAACTTATCAAAGGAAATAATTATCTAAAAATTATATGGAGGTAATTTTTTTCCCTCACCAGCACGGGGGAGTTGCTTCAATCTCATGTAATTGTTTACTTTCAGTGTGTGATAATTGTTTAGCCCCTTAATACATGGATACAGGTACAGTTGTACAGGAATAGGCATTGGATCTGACACCAGTACGATACATGGATACACCTTTTATTTTAAGATTAGGATACATTTACAGTAGTATATGACAGATATCAAATCAGGCCTTTTTCTTTTATTTATTTATTTCAAACCATTGTGGATGTGAGAGTATTGAAAAATTGGATTCAATTATCAATTTCTCCTATCTGAAACTACATATTTGAGTGATAGCACGCTATTTCATGAAACTTTACAATTTTCCCAATCTAAATAAAGTTGGTCTTTCCATAAGAAGATTTGGCTCAACATGTTCAAATACTAGTAGAAGAACCTGACTGATGAAACCCTTTTATGCTTGTTATATAATGATTTTTGTTGGTTGAGTACAACCGAGAGTTAAGAATGTTACATGGTGGACACTGGGTAAGCCAAAAAATTATCTTCCAGAGGATTTATTGTGGGAAACCTACCGATTGTCCTGTCTGTACTATAATTAGTATTCTTTCTTGTACACAATCAAGTATTGATAGTATAGTTCTTTGCAAAAAGAGAATTAAAAAGCCCAAAGGACGTACCACCTTAGCATTAAAAAAGCATCACATGTTTCTCCCATAAACTAATTGTCACTTCAAAATATAAATATGCTTACCTAAATTTTGAATTTTGTAGAAATCTAGGAAGTCCTAATTGAATATCTCTGATGAAGAACAGGATCCATCACGTGCTTGTTATGGAATAAAACATGTTGAGGTTGCCAATGAACGACTGGCTGTGCAAACTCTTCTCATTACAGATGACCTTTTCAGGTTTGTATGATATAGCCTTAAGATATTCTGAATCAAAGACAGCATACTGGAATGTTCTATCTGATTATTATTCCATCTTTGGAAATAGTTTAGATCAAGCTTCTTTGTAAACTACCGTTGACAATTTGTTTTACTGAAGTATATTTTGGTTGAGCCATTACAGCATGGCGATAGTATAACTATCTTTGCACTTTCTTTACATTTGTTAGATTGGGATTTGGGATGTGATCCTGAAATTGCTCTTTTTGATGTTGTGATGTGATAGATAATTGTGACTTCACTACTTGCTTTTGGTTATAGGAATTCAGATATAACAGCAAGACAAAAATTTGTCAACTTGGTCAACTCAATTAAGGATTCGGGTGGCGCTGTCCATGTATTTTCATCCATGCATGTCTCTGGAGAACGTAAGCTTTATTACTTTCACTATTCTTTATTTTTGGGTGAGTGGAGTGTGGGATATTATCTTTGAACTCCATGAACTGAGAATGGTGAATAATTGAAAATGTAGAAGTATTAGGACGGCAATATATAAACTATAAGATTTTATTTGTTCTTCTTCCTTCCTCTTTTTGTCATTAGAGCAGCTGCATGGAAGTAATGAAATATCTGCATAATCATTTATCTAATTTTCTGTTGGTTTTAAATTTAATTTGCCAATTTATATTGGAGGACAGAACTGGCACAGATAAGTGGCATTGCTGCAATTCTTCGGTTTCCTCTCCCCGATCTTGAAGACATTGAGATGTGATGGACAATGTTTGTCAAGCAAGTTGGTGTTGGCCATGGCTCATATCTGTTTCATACTATTCTTAAACACAAGGCTGATTTTGAAACAGTCCCTTGGTACTCCTAGCGAGTTGCTGGATACGTTGAGCAAGGCACTTGTATTATAAACCAGGCGGTGCTAATTAATAGTTGCAAGTTATATTCAACGCCTAGTGTTCTATATTTTGGGGCGAATACCTGTCCCCCTTTTGGTATTTTTAATTTTTTATACGTTGAAATTAATACTTTCGAAGTTCCCACCTTGTACACCATACCAATCTGTTGAGTAATTTACCTACACAGCTCACTCTCAACAATGTGAGTATTAAATTATGTTTGTAACTGCCCTCCTCTGTCACGAACCGGGCGAGTTCTCTCGTGTTTCTAGAGCATTTCTGCTTGCACGCGCCTTCTAAATCTATCATCCATGTGTATCAATCATTGAATAACATGTAAACTATCGTGACTCAACTTTTTATGTTGCCCCTTAATGTTCATCAAACGCATCTTATATATATTAAATAAGAGTTTTTTGTATTTTAAGAGTGGTTATATTTCTTTGTATAATATTCCTTATAAAAGATTCAGTTATGTTTTGTTGACATAGATGTCAAATTTAAATATTTACATAATTTAATAATTTTTTATAAAATATAAAATTGATCAATCTAACTATTGAATGATTTTATACTATCTTTTTAATAATTTATATTAAATTTCATATAATTTAAATAGTTATAGATGTGTTTTCTAAATTTTAATATTTATTTATATTTTAAAAATACATTATTAATTAAAATAAAGTAATGAAATAAAATATTTAATATTTTTTTATAAAATTATATATAATTAATTTACTTGATAAAATCTTTTAAAATAACGTTTGGACAAATTACAATGTATTAAAAGTTATTATATAGTATAAATGGACAAATTTGATGCCTAATATTAATAAATTTAAGCTCTATAAAATAACATGTCATTTTCTTTTTACATTATTTCTTTTGTTACACACACAATTTAAAGTTATATATATAATACAGGATCCATTGATACTAGGTGTAAGTCTAAAAGACTGATATTAAATTTCAACTGTACAAATTAAATAATTTAATAATTAAAGAGTTATCTTTTTTTATATTTTTGTACTTTATTACTTTAGTTAAATAATATAACTTTTCAAAACTGTTAGATTATTTGATTTATATGGTTGAAATTTGTGTAAGTCTTTTAGTATCAATGGATCTTATCCCTATATATATATATAAATATTCTTTAAATGTTTTTTTTATATATATTTTACGTAATTTAAAAATATTCCATGCAATACTATGGATAACTAGGAAGGAATATGTCTGTCCAGAAGGCTTAATGATTTAAATAATATTTTTTTAAAAATTAATTACCAAAATAAAGTAAAAAAAAGCTTATTTTCTTCTAGGGTAAATTTTTGTCACGTCAACCTATGTTTCATATAAAAATCAGACAAAATTATTTTTTATTTTTTTAATTAATCTAATTCGTCTAAAAGGGACGAAATTAGTGAAATTTTGACACATGTTGACTATTTAATATATAAAAAATATGAAAAGCCAAAATAATTTAAAATTTATTTTGTCGCTTCGGTGACATGTGGACTAATAAGGGACTTTCATCTCTGATTTCGTCTAAATCAAAGATGAAAGTCTCTTATTAGTCCACATGTTAACATAGACAATGGGCCCCACGAAATTCTCTTCTCCCTCTCCCCTCTCAGGTTTGAAAACGGAAGTCATTGCCATTTTCTCATTCACACAACAATACTTATTCTTGTTTGTTTGAGCGATTTTTGAGTTAGCAGGGTCGTTTTGTTCTTAATCCATTGTAGAACCATGATTTAGTCCATTTCCATTGCCGATTGTCATTGTTCTTGGACCAGAAGGTTGAAGAAGTTGGGAAACAACATGTGCCATCGTCGACAGGGGAGAACGGTGGTCACTGGAGACACGCCACACACTACACAAATTGCAACCGTCACTGAGGTCGTCCATTGCCATTAATAGTGTGCTTCGCCGGAAAAATCTGCACCATGCATTTAAACTTTTATTTTATGTATTTTAAATTTTTTATAATTCATATTTTATTGATTAAAAAAATATTAACAGTGTCCTTCGATATGTTGTCGATCCACCTCTGTATTTCTGGTGATTTATTGCGAAATTTTCTCAACTTCTCCTCGAATACATTCTTCGAAGGTATATATGTTACAAATAACAATTATTCAACCATTACTTGACAATTAAAATCAATATAAAAGGAAAAAAAAAGTCATTTACCTAATTTTGTCAGTTATTTTTTCAAATCAATATTCTTGAATCTATGATTGAAATTGCTTGCTATATAACGAATGCAATAAACATGATATGCACTGGGAGGTTGCCATTCAATATGTGGGTTTGAAACACTTTTATGCCTAACAGATATTAAACATAATCATGTCTTTGTTGTTACATGCACACAAATCATTACCAAAAATCATTCCCATGCTGACAGAGTCTCTCCTTCAACAATAGCAAAAGCAAGTGATAGGACAAAATTATTCTCATTTTGTGTCATTGCAATCAACAATGTGTGACGATACTTACAATACAAAAATGTTTCATCTACCTGAACAATAGGTTTGTAAAAGTTGAATACTTCCTTATATTGATGAAAACACTAAAACAATACTCAAATACTCTAAATCTATTTTCCTCCTGATGCCCAACAACAAACGACTTCGTTTCAATCTTATAAACAGGCCATAGAACATGAAATTGTATGTACTCTAATAATCTTGGTAATGTAATATATGATTCATCTTAGTGACCAAATATTCTTACAATCGCCTTTTATTTTGTCTTCCAAGTTTTCTTGTATGAAATTTTATATCCAAATTGACTTGTCCTCCTTTCTTAAATTAAACTTATAAGCAATGATAGTTCAAGATTAACTATACCTACAAAACAACGAAATAAAAGAGGTAAGTCCTTTATTGTCAAAAGGCTTCACGAAATAAGATTTTATGCAAAACTTATCAATGATGTATGAACAAATCAACTCTGAATCTAGCTTGGTATGATCTTGAGATATTGTTAGGTTGAGACATGTATACTTACCTCCACACCTTGCTATTTTTCACTTTCTTGAATTTTTAAGCAATAATGCTCTTATTCTCCATGGACAACTATTGTTATAGTTTAAATACCTCACATATAACTTTGTTGGTTTTGACTCAACAACAAAATAACTCTGATGTATTTTCATTGCATGTTGTTTTAAGGCATTTTTAACTTCTTCTTTGGAGTCAAATAATAAACTCACATGTAACGGATCTCCAATAACCTATGAAATGTCATCACTAATTTCTTCTGCTTCAATTTCTTAGTCTGGATGGTTCCAATTAATATAATTGTAATGTGGACTTATATTCCAAAAAGGTATTTTACCTACAACTACATATAAACAGACATTATTCATCATTAAAAAAATAATTTAATCAATATACTCTATAAATATTACCTCTAACATTTTTTGGTTGTAAATTTAAGTTTGATTCAAAATCACCATCTACATCTATATCCGATGAACTGTCTAATGGAATATGTCCTTCGTCAATATCATCATCATCATTGACTTCATCTTCATCTTCATAACTACATAAATCTGCACATCCTTCAAAATACATACACTTATTCAATATGTATTGTCACTAAAAATAAGAAGAAAATTAAAATTATAGTATAATTTATACCTTCTGTAACATTTATATTCCTCATTTCCATAAGGTTAGGCGGTGACATTGATAAGCTTAAGTCCAACATATTTGACCCAACTCTTGAACTCTCACCAAATGCAATATCCACGTATAATTCAATAAAAGTTGTAATACTTTGTTGTTGATACACACTAATCATACAATCAATGTCTTCATCATCACATATATCCAATGCAGTGTATTGTTTAACGCTTGAATTAACCACAAAACGAGAAATTATTCTAAATATGAAATGATTATTACTAAGACTCAACTTGTCATAATTTTTTTTTTTAATTTATAAAACTTATTCCTCTTCTTATCTTTATCATTTTTTTTATCTTCAAATGTCACACCTTCATTTTCAACAATTTTTCCATTCCAATATATAAAAATAATAATATCATTCATCCTGTATTTATAAAAAAATAACAAATAATTATAATTATACTTATTTATATAAATAATTATTTTAAATTATTATTAACATACACAAAAATATATTTACTAAATATTCATAAATTTTAACTACCTCTATTTATTTTAGTAATTAAAAAATTACAATTTTAATAATTTATCAATAACAAAAAACTCAAAAAAAATATCCAAAATTTACTAACCTTAATATTCTTTAAGCCTTCGAAAGTTTAGAAACCACTTCTACACTTCAATTTGGTTGCACATCCGCATACATTATATACTCAAATTTTGCTAGATATTTGGATGCAGCAGCAACATGTTGAATAGAGGTTAAAAGGAATTTTATCTCAAATGTAGACGAATTTAACAAGATTTCGTCCAAAATTGAGACAAATTTAACAAGATTTAAACATGTGTTGAAATCTTGTAGTTTCGTCCTAATTTTATACAAAATTATTAACACGTGTCAAGTTATCGAATATTTCATTCCTCTTCTAGACAAAATGATTAAATAATAAAAAAAAAATTGTCTGACTTCTATATGAAACATGAGTTGACATAACAAAAATTTGTCTCGGACAAAAAATAAGTTTTTTTCTTTCTTACTTTATTTTGGTAATTAATTTTTAAAAAAACATTATTTAAATCATTCAACCGTCCAAAAAAGGAATAAATCACATGATAGAAACTAGAGAATAAATTTAACAAGTAATCAATTAAATCTTACACAACACATTGAGGTCAAATACCGGTTCAATTAATAATAAGAATTTTAAGTTATTTTGCAAAAGGCCGTGTTTTAAAATATAATAATATTAAAATGCTAAATACAAAATATAGAAACTAGATTGTATTCTCTCAAAATAATTGCTTCTTAAATCCTTTATAAACACTGATCTGATTCCAAGTCCCGTTAACATCCTTGGAGGATGCTTAGGTGAGCTTTTGGTCATCTGAGTTACATACAGCAGAAAAACATAATTCATTACCCCTTAAAATCTGTAAAAGATAACGTTATTGCCATCATAGCTGGGAAAGGAAAAAAAGGAAGTTTAAACATGACACAGTCAACAAATTTGTGATTTTAAATATAAATATTATATACATAACACTCTCCATGATAGGGAAATCATGTACTCCCTGGGAGCAGCCATAATGAAAGCCAACTCCATGACACTGACAATATAGTAAACACACTAGAATGAAACTGGAACTGCATTGTATCTTACAACATTTAGATGACGGGCCAAACACCATAACCTGTCCAGTCAGCTACCACCATTAGTGAAAACAGGTCCAACAAGATTCTGGATAGTACTTTCAAGATGCCTTTTGACTTGGCTGCTAATCAAGATACTCCAGCACAATCAGAGAAGCACTAAGCAACCAACATGAAACTACGACAGTCTTTTGCATGAATCTCCTGAGAATTGTGTATCAGAAATTTTGAGTAAAGCATGCTCATTACTCATCTTTGTGATTGTGATTGAAACCTTGGGAGCACCTGCCAGGGTCCATTTGAAGCAACAGAAGACCATTCTGCTTCGAAGATATCACAACCTTCTCTGCTAATTCTTCGTTATTTCTCCACTTTTACTTTTAGGAACAGAACCATCCTTCACAGAATGCACTCCTAAAGCATGAGCAAACATTCTCTTTGCAGCTCCTAAGTGCTCCTTTTTCATGTAGTCTTTACTTGCTCTTTGCCCCTGTTTTCCGTCTTGAGAGAATTGTGGCAAATCTTTGTCAAGGGGTGTTTGATCATTCCTTTTATTAAGTGAGGCTGCATTTGAACTGCTAGTGTTACTAATTTTGTTGTTTGAGTTCCTTCTTAGGGGTAAAGAGTCTTCAGAATCTTTCGGGAGATTGTACTCTTCACTATTCGTATCTTGAGCATTCAATTCATCTGTGCGCACACTATCCCTTGTACTATCATTAGCCAACCCATTCAGATTCTTTGTGTGCATTCTTTGACCTAGTGCATGTGCAATCATTCTGCGGGCAACCACAGGCACACTTCGCGGCTTTTGTTCCCCAGGCCCTTTTACCTCTTCCAAATTCATAGAGAAAATTCGCTCACGAGCAGTTAAATAAGCAGCTTTTCTCTCCTCCAGTGACTGCGGAAAGGATGCTGTATTTGTCTGCAAGACTAAAATATTCAACACACAAATTAAGGCCCAAAAAACAGACCACCAGTCTATTTCAGAAGTCATTAAGAAAAATACTATTTTCCACATGAACTTATTTAGTTATACACAAGTTGTCATTTTAAGTTATTTTTGCAATTTTTTTATGAATTTGTGTAACATGCATACCACCAATAGTACATCACATTCACTTCATGTTTTACATGCTTGTCTTTTATAGTGCAAGATTCACCAGGTAGGTAGGAAGATGAATATTGTGCATGATGTACTATGGTAGGTGGCAGAGAGAAGAATCAGTAAGCACGGTATTACCTGGAGGGGCCTCTTTTCTCCTTAATATTTGGTGGGTCGTAATCAAAGATTGAGGTTCATCATACTTCCATAGGATATCACTGACAAGGATTGGAGGTCTGCAACCCATCAATATATAAAGGTTATTCTGTAAAGAAACCTTGAAATAATTGCTGAAATACTAATAAAATAAAATAATCTATGGTTGATATAAAAAAGCCAGGAGATAAAAAAGAGGGAAGTTCATTTACATAGATGTATCTGGACATCTCTCCAAAATCAAGTGGCGATCATCTCCTTCGCCAACAGATTCATGTGCAAACCTGGCACCAATTATAAGTTATCAAATAAAAGAAGTAAAGAACAGTAGAGACAGGTTCAAAATGAAATCATAAAGGAACTTTGAAATTGACTCGCAAAAAATAGAACTCATGAGAAAATACCCAAATATCTCAGCGAGGCGATGCAATAGAAGACGGTTATAAGAGTTCATTGGCTCCAATTCCAAAATCCCATCCGAACTATTGTCAATAAAAACAGATATTAAGAAGCATATTATATGATAGCATCCTACCAGGGAAAAACACTTCCAACCATTCTAAAACAACTAGTTAACACAACATGCATATACCCAACTGCCACAGAACCCAACTACAATCAAATGCTATAAATGACCAACAAAACAAAGAGCCACACTCCAAAAGCCCCAACTTTACAAACTGCTAAATAGCCTTAAGAAAATTTAAATTCCAACTGAAACTGTGTAAGATGTACTATACAGTATTTACATTAATAAGTAAACTGTGATGCTAACATGTTTATCATAGTATTTGAACCAATAATAAGTGAACTGTTTTATTTTGTACATAAGAATTATTCAACTAAAACTAAAAATCTCTATATCGAATTTGAAACCATTTTAGATTGCAACATTTTGTTTTCTAATTTCTAGTATATTGCACTGCTTTCTTTTCTTTTAGGGGTCACAAGTACATGGGGAGTACACAAGAATTTAAATGTTTGGTTAATTAGAGAAAAAATGGAGAAAAATAAATTTGCTTAAAACCATCCTTCCCATGTCCTTTGATACAAAGTGTATGGATCCATTGAGTAATCAAAGTTGCCTATAATCACGCTTGAGACAAGTACAACATCACTAGTTTCATACTTTCATAAACTAAACGTTTAACTTTCACCAGCTATAGTGACAGTTTGGACTATACTCAGGTTAAACGCCACTCAAAAACTGTCTCATAAATATTACCTAGTGTCATCATCCTGAAGAAAGTTAACCAAGACTTCTTCCATCGTAAGAACTAAATGCTTGCAAGGAAGGTTGTCCTTGACAAGAAACGCCAACTCCTCAACCTGAAATACAAAAACATCAGTTGAAAGTTTTAAACACATGGAATTTTGGTTCTTATAAAGAAGAGATGCTCCTCAGTGCCATGCCAATTGATAACTTAAAGGCAATGCAAAATCATCAAACATGATATTTAATTGACACCAACCATAGAATTTCATCACGCAAACAGTCCTCAGTAAAATCGTTCAATTAACATTAAAAAAATGAACAAGCTTGATACGAAAACATTATCCTAGGGTTCTGAAATTTGTAACTTTGGATTAAACAATGCAATCAGCTGCGACTAAAACGACGTAAACCTAGAAAGAGAAAGGGCATGACCGCACAAAATTGCAATTCATCAGAGCATGACTCATATAAAGTATATCGAGAGAAAAAAATAGAATCGAAAAAGCATACCATGGCGAATTGGGTCACACTCATATTGAAGGGTTGAACAGAGTCAAAGGCTTTTAGGGTTTAGGGTTCCCAGTTACAAAATTTAAAAACATCCAACTTTTCACTTCAGCTTCAGATTTCATCAAACAATGCCTGCGTGTTGGAGTTGCTACCATCAATTTCTTTATGTTTATTTTCCTCAAATCGTAAATATTCTTTTAACTAGGTTTTATCTAACATGCACCGTGTCAACACTTCCCACAAACAAAACCAAGTGAATATCACCCGTTAGATATAATAATAAAAAATTGAATGGTCCAGATGACTAACATAAAACTTACAATAGAAAAAGGATTTATATGTTTAGAATATTGCAAACTACATTTAATTTCCGTGCTAATTGATAAAATTTATTTTTATTTATGATAATTATAATAAAATTTATAAAAAATAATTAAAATATATTAATATATAAATATTTTATATTACCAATTAATAACATTATTATATCAGTAAAAAAATTAATTTTTATAAAAAATTTATTTATATCATATTTAATTGATTGATAGTCATATTGATAATAGATAAAGAAATACTCACAAATTATTTAATATTTAATTTTAAAATGGTCATAAAGTTAACTTTAAAATATAAATATATTAATTATAAATGAAAAAAATAAATTTAAAGTGTTTAAAAGATCATCCTCTTTCTTTTATAAAAAATAAAATAAAAAATAATTTATACTGTTTAAAAAATAATATTTTTAGAAAATAATTAAAAAAATATTGAGAGATAGATTTTTTTATAAACTATTCAATTTAATTTTGTCAAAATAAATATAATAATCATACTAAATTAATATATAATAATGCTTTTATTATTAATTTAATGAAATACTTTTTATATTAGAACAAATGCGTTATACTCATTGCATAATATATTACAATGTGTGTGTATTAATCCTTGGGTTAAAAGGAATGGCTCGTCGATCCAAATTTCAAGGTGACCATTCTTTCGAAAATTTTTCAAAAAATTATCGATTCACTGACACGAGATCAAAACCGAATGAACAACTTTGCATATGACTAACGTGATGGAAAATGGGATAAACATGTAAACACAGTACACGCTGGATGCTAAGAAACTCTTTAGTTTTAGAAAATAAATTTCATTTTATTTTTATTTTTATTTGTACAATTATCACTTTGTTTTTATCCTTTTTTGTTTTAAAATTTTATATAAGAAACACTAATCATTTTACCATTTTGATTATTTACTCTATAAATCTTGTAGTGTAGTAATTTTATAATTGAAACTGATTACTTAATTTTAAATTTTATAATGATGTTTCAAATTGTTACTTAATATAAACTATTTATATTGTCCCTCTCGTGATTATTACCACTCCTATTTAAGTAATTAAAATATCTATTATTAATATAATTATAAGAGAAAAAAACATTTTAAAAAAATCACTTAAATATAAGTATCAATAAACACTTGAAAGTACCAATAATCACATCCTATAACAATGCGAAACTAATTACAGTGCATGAAAATGTAAATGTTCAATACCTAAAAATGATGTTAATAATAATAAAAAAAAATACTTTACTATAACAAAACATGAAACTAATTACATTGCATGTAAAATGTTAATCGTTCGACACCCAAAAACAAAATGAACATACCCCCAAAATATATAGTGAGTACCATAACTAGTTGCCTTAAAATAATTGCTACCCTTAAGATTTCCCTTCAAAGAAAAATCCCGACACTTAAAGAATATTACAAAATCAATTATGCTAATGGAAAGCACCAATCTAATTCATATTGTAGATGGATTTCTGTATTTTAACATGATCAACAGCCACCAGAAAAAAATAAGGCAATGTACAGATTTAATATTTCCTTGTTCCTTTTGATTTCCCCCAAGAAGCAAACCGGTTTACATCCCGGATGATGTCCGGTTTATCCGCTGAGCACCTAATTTTGGGGCGGCGGGTTTGGCACCGCGACCTCGGCCAGCTGATAAGGGCTTGGCCTTAGTAGTGGGTGCAGGAGCAGCAATGGCAGCCCAAAGATCATCATCATCAGTTCCAGTTGATTTTAAATTTAAAGGTTTTGAAGTTTTTGGAGCAGGAGCCGCTATGGAACCCCACAAATCATCATCTTCATCCTTGCTCAACTTTGGTGTACTTTTGGAACGCGAACTTGAGGCTAAAATAAATAAACCTTCCAATTAGTACGAGTACATAAAATTCACCAAATAAGTAAATGAATTGACTATTGAGTAATTTGGGTTGGGAATATTCCTTTTGAATTAAGGGACATTGTCCAACTTTAAAGTTTTAAGCGCAGATCACAGGCTATCTAAAATGGCAGCAGCATCTCTAAACAATAACTGTAATATTTTCACTAATATTCATATTAATACCATCCTAGCATACAACAAAATCTCAAAGTTCATTTCTAAGTAAAAGGTAACTAAACTAATTCACTAAATGCCAGTCCAATCGTTAAATGCAAACCTGAACTAGTTCATACACTAACATCAATCACTTTGTGAGGATATTGTCGTTAATCAATATATTTTTTAGACGCTAGTACATAGATAAACTTTCAACCTGACATTTGAAAATTATTAACAGAACTTGCAGTCAATGGAAATGAGGAAATGCCAACCAAAATACTAATAGTTGAATGATTAATACCTTGTTTTGTCTGTGAAACAGGTTGAGAAACTGGCCGCCTTTGAGCTGCTTGAATGTTAGCAAGAGCTGGAGTTGGCTTTATTTCTTCAAGTGGTTCCAGATCATCCCATCCATCCTTGTCATTTTCATGATCCTCGTCAATTCCATTCTCTAGATCTCCCCAGCCATCTGTTGATGTTGGGGATGTCGGAATGGGATGTTCAGCAAAATCTGTTGTGGAGCTTACACGAACAGGTGCTGTTGAAGGAGTATCTACAGCTAGAATACCCAAAAAGAAGTGAAATAAACTTAAATTGTAAAGATATGCCCAGAAGGAAGCCACTGCAATGAAGCAGAACAAATTAACGAGGCATCAAAAGGTCAAATAAGAGAGAAGATTGAATAGCTTTGCCTCAAAGGTGGATAGGGAGATAAGGAATGAGAGTTTCAGTCATGCCTTCCCCCTCAGTTTCCACTTTTCTTCTCCTTATTTGTCTTCAAATAATAATAACACAAAATCACCCCTGGGTATAATCAGTTTGACTTTTTTGGGCCCCAACATGTACGTAAGCCATTTCAAAAAAAGAATGTGACAGGTATAGATTTCAATGACCTTAAACCCCTTCATCCACAAGAAAAAGCATCTGTCTTTAAATGTGGAGAAGGTGCAGCAGACCAAGCACAAAAAGATGAACAAGAAAGGAGTGATATGCGCCACAAGTTTTGCCGACTCATCTCATAATAGGAGCTGCAGCTCAATTTTTTGCTAAGCTCTCTCAGAAACAAGAGAAAGAGAGAGAACAAGTATACCAAGAACTTTTCTCTTGCAATTTGTTATTCAAGAGGATGATTCCACCCTCTTAACACATACACTCATCATTCTCAAAATTGCTTTCATATTTACCTCTCAAATGAACATCAAAGGTGATGACATTATTCCAGTGATGTGTGAGTGGCTGAAGTTGGTTACAAAAGCATTACTAGGATTTAAAGTTATTTAGAGAATCATGATACACTTTTTAGATGTTCAGTTGTGAAAACAAAGGCTACTCAAGAGCTTGATGCTAAGCAGGCCAAAATTGGGAGGGGAAGATTTAATCACATATTCAGAGGAAATAGCACTAATCAAATCACATTTAAAATAACAAAAACTGCTCATTTGGCATACCTGAGCTGGCATTAGAAGATGTTGGAGCAGGCATACTAGAACTCACAGAAGCAACTGGAGGATGATCAGAAGGTTTACCCTTCAGAGTCAAGGAGCTCATGGCCCATCTACACAGCAATGAGAGATAAGTCAGAACTGATGAGATAAATATGAAGAAACAGCTCCATTAAAGAATACTGAAGCTCTGCTAGAAAATCAGGTAAACAAATATTATGCAGAACTCCTTAAGTAATAGACAAGACTACACCCAGGTACTAACTTTTTCGATTAAGTACCTTATCAATAGTAGCGTGCAACAAAAGGTAGAATCATTTACCTAGTTTATATATTGTACACTAGCAATCACACCCCTCTCTAAGTCCCAAACAAAAGGCAATTTCTGCTGTAGTATATCATTGTATCAAAGACACGTGCATGCATGCGTACACATTCTACCAATTAGTTAGTTAAAACTGCAAGCTTCTACGGTTTAGCATTACAATCCACCAATCTGTAATCCTCAGCAGGCCACTCCCAATTTATGTGGCCCCTAAATAAAGTTTTTAGCTATTTGTATTACTGTTACTATTTATTCTATGCTATACAAGAAATCAAGATTTAGCTATCATACTTTGTATTTTTAACTGACACTAATCTAGAACAAGAAAGGGGAACTTCTTAAATAATGGATTCTAAATTACTTAAAAGAAAGTCATGCAGACCCTATTGCTAGAACTTTTTTGCTTAACATTGAACTGCCTAGCCGCACAAAATTTGGACCAACTTACCCAAGTAAACTAGCATTTCCTGGAATTGATGAGATTCCCATGCCTGAAGCCTCAGTAGCCTCTGCTGTATTTGTCTATATAACAGAGATAGATAAGAGCATGAATCAGTATCATAAATCACCATTAAAGAGGGAAACTGTCACTATTAAAGACAACTATTTAAACTTCCAGCTGATCTAAAAAACTAAGAAAATTGGCCCACCACATAAGACGAGCTTTTTTTTTAATATGGTGCAACACCGAACTGTGTAAGTCATACTTTTTAATATTAGGTTTTCTCATATTTGTCCAATACAGATAACATTTGTTAAACCCCACAAAATTTCCTATGGTTTCAACCTTGATGTCATACTTCCATTACTATTGCAAAAAATGTACTACTACAATCAAGACCATGATGGTGCATAAGCAAAAGATTAGTCAGTCTGTACATATATGGTAAGGATGTAGCTTCTTCAGCTGTATGCTCATGAAGATCATCCAAAATATTTTTAGTTTACATAATGACATGAAGGCATCCAGGGAGAACCCACAAAACGTGGAATAATTGACTCGTGCTTT